GCCTTCCTGCCTTCCTGCCTTCCTGCCTTCCTGCCTTCCTGCCTTCCTGCCTTTCTGCCTTCCTTCCTGTCTATCATAAGATTTACATGCAAGTTTATGAATTGTGCTTTCTTTTTTATGTTTCTCTCTCCCCACAACTATGACATGGATATTAGAAAAAAAGATCACATCATTAAAAAAAACAACAACTGAATGGCACAGTTTTGCATCTGTAAAATTTCTGCTGGTAGCATTAGCCTACTATCCAAGAGCATTTTGGAGAGCAATTTAAAAATTCTCCTTTAATTATTCCATTGCAAGCATGTTTCTAATATTCTGCTTACATTAGTGCCCACTATGGAGATCCCTTTTTCTTTCCATCAAAAAAGGAATGCAACATTGAAATTCTCCATGCAGTAGCTGCTTAAAAACAAAAGTGATGATTGTCTCTTATTTACAACTTAATTTGTTGTTGATGCAGAGTACACTGAACATAAGGAGGATGAATAAACTGACAGATTCAGGCCACATTATTCAAATGAGAATATGAAAGCTGTCGACATACAGCTGCATCCTCCCCTCATTCTAAGAATATTAGGACCTCCTGATATTATTTTCTAAAGTAATTGTTTCTTCACATCAACTTGATTTTTTTGTGTTAATCATCTACTTTAAAAAAAATATAGTTTGGGTTCCAATTATTATAATGACATACATGGTATCATTTTGAAAACCTTTACAAATAAACATCATATTAGTTTAAATTTGCTTGTTCAAATTCGTCTTGTCCTGTCCCTTTCTCTCTGAAATGCTCTGCACATATTTAACTCTATTCCCACCTCCAGATGCTAGCAAATCTGATTTTGTACTTTTGATTTAGAATGGCCTGCTTCTATAATAGAAGAAGTTTATAGTTTTCTCCTTATCTGCCCTTCTTAAAACAAAATAGGTATTTTAAGTAGGTTTCCCCCCTCTTTTTTATTAGTCTTTCATATTTTATTAATTGGTTTAATAAACCAAACTTCAATGCTGTATTTAATGTAACTAAAAATTGTGTTTAATTTAACCATTACTGTCCTATTCTTGTTAATATCATTCTTTGTGCTAGATTAATATATGGTTTTTGTTTGTTTGTTTGTTTGCATGGTACACAGAGTTAACCTATTTTGTCCAATGAGAGTTTCTGAAGAAACTCATTTAGCAGGCTGTGATAATACTTTGAAAAGCTGTTTGATCAGAAAGTGAACCGTAAGAGTGAGGGTGTGTAGGATGAATGTGTCTAGGGTGGTCAGTGACCACTCCACATTGGCCATTCAGGCCTCTGAAAAATGTTTTGTCCTCTATACCTAACCTACACCTGATGACTGTCTCTGAATTGTGCAGCAGACTGAAGAAAAGCAGTGCTTCTATGGAAGTATTATCTGCAATGTAACAATGCAAAGGATTGCTGTGGAGATTTCAAGCCATCGCTACAGCTTGACCTCAGTATGACTTGAGAGAACCTCACGAGGACTCTCTAATGTTCTGCTTTGTAGTGGATGTTAATTCAAGCAGCTGCACAGAAGCATCTCGCTCGTATTTAGTGCCTGTTGTTTTTTTCAGCATGTGACAACCGAACTCAGTCTTCTTACAATGTTGCCAAGTTTATGTGAAACATTTTGATGTTATGCCACCTTATATTTATATAGCATCATTCATCCAGAAGAAGCCCAAAGTGCTTTACAAACAGCCAATATAGGGATCATTCACCCACCACAGAAAGGCAACCGCTTCCGTGGTGGAAGGCTACAGCCATTCGGGGTCAGCAACATCACACACCAGTAGATGTAAATATTAGATACATTCCTCTTTTCTTGGGGAGTGGGGTTGGAGGGTGGGTTTCCACGTTGATACATTTGGAATGTTTATTTTATGTAATATTTCATGAGTAAAATCAGCTTCTCTTTTGATTTGCTCTGCAGATTTGTTCAGACTGTCCAAGTGACCTGGATTTAGTTCCAGGTTCATATAGGCAAACTACAGAGTAGAATCTCGTGAAATTGTGCCCATCAATTCCCTTCTTTCTCTGTCTCACTCTCTCGTCTGTGTGAATGTTTTTGTGTTCAGATAGGAAAGATATAAAGATAGATAGTATCTTTTTTTAAAATAACAGAAGCTTAGGAGGTAGAAAATTATCGCAAAAGATGACAGCAATCTTTGCACTCTCAACTAAAGAAGAAGTGAGAAAGCTAGTAGCCTAATGGAATAAGAAGTATAATAATTATGAATACTACAAATAGGGTGAAAAATACAAGGAAGTGATTTTTGTTGGTTTTTCTAGCTCTCATCAGGACTTATTCTAGAGCAATTACTTCCAAGGGTAAATAAATAAAGTTCAGTCATCGCTGGCCAAGCTAGCTGGGGCGTATGGGAGTTGGAATCCAACAAAATATGGAAAGCAACAGGTTCTATCTTTATGACTAAGTCTTGGATCCTGTTCATTCAAGGCCCTGTTAACTGAGATTCAAATAAATGTTCCAAGGATTGGACATACCACGCAATAGACAGAGCTGGGAATGAGCAGGATCTGTGTAATGCTGAAGCACTGGCACTGCTTTTGAATAGGCTTTCCCATGTGTAGGAGGACAAAAAAAGTCATTTGACCTAAAAATAGGTTGGGACCCCATGATGAGTTTCCTTTCATGTTGTTTTGTTTGGAAGTAAAATGCTATGATGCCATTCATATACCATGGTCTATACAGATTATACAACTTAATGCAGTTGTATCATTGATTACAGCTGTCCATTCATTACAGACGATTTCTGTACAACCCAAAATGAATACCATGCCCCAATAATTTTAATATCAATTCATTAGCCAAACTATACTAAACAATGTTAATTTAAAAACTAATAGAAAATTGACAATACAAAGAGTATAATTTATTACTTATTTCTAATTATAAGGAAATAAATCACAATTTCCCAGAAAGTGCTTGGGAGATAATTACTTGGGCTAGCATATGTCAGGTCTCTTCAGTCTGATAACTCCAAGTATGATTCTGGAAGTGCTGTATTTTTAATCTTAACACATCTGGAAGGCACCATATTGAGAAAGATATACAAAGCACTAATCATTATTTCAGCAAACGATCACTATCTGACCTAGGATATTTGATGTGGTTGTGAACATTGGCTTCATGCAAGAATAACTAATTTACTAACTAAAAGATATAAGACCACATTTTGTTAATTTTCTATGGTAATACTTTCTGTAGCAAGATTTTGCAGTTGAGATTTTAGAATCACTGAATTCATTGGTAGTACAGCAATATAAGTAGTCAGTAAAATTACCTAAGATTTGTCAGATACACTGGTAGTTAGCTGTGAAAGAGAAGCTCAATGTAAATGTAACCATCATTTTAATTATCACATGTAAGGAAAAAGAGGAAAAAAATTAGATTAAGATAGAGAAGTCCCTTTAACCAAACTAAGGTCTGGTCTTACTCTTAGCCAGAGCTAGATAGTCATCTTGGGCAGCTGATCTGGGGTTATTTTGAAATGGCAGAAAATTGTTAGGTATTTAATTTATTATTATTGCAATTTTACATCCAGAGAAGGGAATAAGTGCCTAGGGTGCAAAATTAGCTTTGGGTTGTATACATCTTGTGTTAATGATAGAGTACAATTTGCTTCTCTGCCTCAGGCAGCAAAATATCTTGGGCTCACTCTGTGAAAACCAAGGTTTTATGGCAGAGAAAAATATTTGCATTCAATGCGGTATAGTTAGTTCTTAAATTTTTGGGACCGCTTTAAAAGTGAATATGAAGGGAGTTAAAAATTGCTAATAATATATTGCAGCAGAACATGAATTTTTTGGTCATATTCTGGCTATAAATGCTAGAGCTTGGGTGTTGGGTTTGTTTGTTTGTTTGTTTTTGCAGTTCATGGGTAGATTTCAAGGAAGATAGATGGATGTCCATGGATAGACTTTCCATATGCAGAAACTGACTATCAACCACTGGTATTAAAGCCCATTAAAAATTCATTCCAAAAAATCAGAGGGTCTTTCAGGTCATTTCTCATGCAACATGAGGAGCTTGAGTTGGAACCAACTGCTTGGAAAATATACAAGGGCTCTTTGGATCACAGCCCACACACTGCAATTTATCCTAATATGTTGCACAATAAATGTACGAAGTCCAGTTCAGTGCCATGTACTGGTCCTATGCTGGTCCTATGCTTAAAGCAATTTACTTTAAATCAAAGCTAATTTAACAAATTTTGAAAAACAATGGAGTATTTTCCATAAAAATAAGCCTAAAAACATTTATTTGACAATAAATTAAAATTGTTTCAGGGGATCAATTGCACTTCGATTCCTGAGAAATGTTCTGTGAATCATAATGCACAGTTGCACTGTGACTTTTTTCTTGTTTTAGTTAAGGAGCTAAACTAAATAGGGCTGAATAAGATGCAACCACAGTTTTGTCTTTAACTTGAGGGGAAAACGTTCTTCTTAATTGGTATTGTGGAAAGAAATACCAGCTGTATCCTCTTCTTTCGCTCCACTTGGTGCCGATTTTAATGTGTAAGCTAATAATTCTTGGACTACTAAATACAACAGATTCAGTGTCATTTTAGCTTTGAAGAACAGGAGCTTCCAGGCTTTTCAACCCAGCGTGTTAAATGATGTATCTCATTCCTTCCACCCCTTGAGTCAACTGCTGCCTAGCCAGCTTAAGGTGTCAGATTGATTTGTTTTATACATCTTTTGACCATGCTCATTGAATATTTAGGAAGTTTCTTCAGCCCATATTGAGGTTGAGGTATCCCGTGGGAAGCATTAATCAAAGTCACAGAGACTCTTACACTGTGGAAGCACAGACTCTTTATTGTAGCGATTAGTTTTTGCAGTAACACATTAACGCACTACAGAGCTTTTCTTTTATAGAACAATTGATCCCTTTCTTGTACTCCACTGCAGAAGGGGGGGGGGGTTGTCATGAAATAATTAACTCTTTAAAGTTTGGCAATTTAAAGAAGGCTAATATATCTTAACTAAAACGTTGAGGCAAGGGCAGACGTATATGTGTGTGCCTGTTTGTCTATGTATGTATGTGCCTGTCTATCTTCCACATGTATTTGTGTTAACTTATCCTTCAAATGTTTTTTATACTTTTCTTGGTTTCTTCAGTGGTTATGTATGTAATTGCTCCATGTCTTATATTTTTATTGTTTTGGTTCTCCCCCCCTCCCCATTTTCATGTCTCAACAATAAATATTAAATCTCTCTTTGCATCCTGTTGCTAAATAATGACATATGTGCACCTACTTTTTTGTTATTGTTTTTGCTGTCCACATTAGGTCATTCACGACCATTCTAGGAAAAAAAAAGTCCTCTTTCTATTTTTCCTCTCTCCAGAACTCTTGTCCACATGAGACAATGTCTTGTAACAATGCAAGAGCCTAATCTCCATGTCAAAGCAATTTTCATTCCCCAGTGCACACCCTGCTATCATTTTGTAATGTTTTGTTTCTTATTCTAAAAGAATTAAAAAGGAACAGTAAGCTGTCACAGGGGCCTGTAGTCCTTATCTCAGTGTCTGGAAATTTGGACAGTGTATTTTACTACTGAGATAAAATGGAAAGAACTCCAAGTTCAGCAAATCGTAATGGGTTTAAGTTCTATTGAAATCGGTAACCAGAAGATCAGATAACAGGGGTCCTTCAGTTGTCTTTTTAATCAGGTTCCCCGCAAGGGCTGAATAGAGACAGAGCAGACACACAGTGAAAATATAATTCTTGGATAGGTTAAGTACATGTTTGAACTCTTGCAAGCAGAAGCGATTTGATGATGACTTAATCATTTTCTGGTCAATTATCTGTAAGGACCCTTGCAACTGCATGGCAATTATGATGCAAGTTGGCCTTTTGGGAGAAACACCAGTCTCCCTGCTTCTGTTTCCTTGTTGCTCAGATTCTCTGCCATAAATTTTCATTCGTTTATTATCTTTGCTAGCATGGAAACAACTTTCTGTGTAGTAATTACAGCCCCAATGCACACTTTAGCTGTCATCTTGTTGGAGGCCTGGATGTCCTCATGGCCAGCATTTGATAAGTGTTCTTTGTTGATTTTTGATTAATGCACATCTCTTTCTCGGGGCCAGGGGAAGTGAATGCCTGTGATGACAAAAGGCAGGGGATAGTATATCAGCTTGCCTGATATATAGCTATGGATTTATTGGTTTTAACTTGGCAAGTTGAGTTGCATCTGTCCTTTACACATAGGAGAGGCTGTCAATAAGAGGGTATCAGCTGCAACATAGCCTAGATGACATCTTCAGTTCAAAGGTCATAGGAAATAGTAAGAAAACTCATCCTGGAAGATACCAACATTTTTCACCTTGGTTTTATTCCATATCAATTGAGGTGATACATTACTGAGCCAGCAAAATTTAAATTTTCTACACAGAAGGGCAGAACTTGATTGAATGTTCCCACATTATTCTAGTCAGAAAATGATGTGCTCTGTTCTGCCTTACAGATACAACATTTAACTTTCAAAATCAGATTCTCTAATCTTTACAATGTTCAACTCATTAACTGGGGAACCATTGAAAATTACATAATAGGGAATTCATATTTTTCCCTTCACCCTATACATCCTTCCATAAATATCTTCAATAGGATCTTGTAATAATTTACTATTGATAGTGATGCTTTGGCTATTGCACAAAGCTTGAAAATCCAAGGCACCTGCTAGGTTAAGTGCCAGAATCTTGATAGTGGTGCCTAGAAATCTTGAAATATTTTCCATGCCTGATGCTGTGTCTAGTAGGACAGTAGTGCACTGGACAGCAACTTCAGGAATGAGACTCAAAGAGTATTTTGCTATTTAAAAGTTTGATGCAATATTTTTATATCATCTGACTCAACCTCTTGTATCTCCTTATCCCTCAGGTTTAAAAGCTTTTGAAGATGAGCTTTGTGGGGGTGGGGAAGAGGGAGGGATGTAAGAATGCTGTGGGGAGGAAAAGGAGGAAATGCCAGTGATCTAATTCTTTGTACTCTTTACATTTTAACAGTTCAACAGATGTATTACTTCTCAGCTCATCAAGTGGTTTAGCAATTTCCGTGAGTTCTACTACATTCAGATGGAGAAGTATGCACGTCAAGCCATCAATGATGGTGTAACAAGCACTGAAGAGCTGTCTATAACCAGAGACTGTGAGCTGTACAGAGCCCTCAACATGCACTACAATAAAGCAAATGACTTTGAGGTACGCACTGATCTTTCTATTCTCCCTTCCCCTGGGTTTATGGATAATTGAAATCTGAGGGGGGGGGGGGCCCAACTACAGCACTTTTCACAGCCTTTTTATTTGTCTCTGAAAACTCTTCATTGGATATAGTTCATCTTGTGTATGATCAAATGGATCCATAAAAACAAGTCTACTTAGCCTGCCTTGTCAGAATGTGGAAAGTTCTCTCTTGTAATAGGTACAGTTCTGGTGGCTCCTCCTCCTTTTTCCTTTTCCTACATTTTCTATTGAATGCTGGATATGTGTGCTTACATTATTATCTAAAAGGCCAGTCTTCATGAGCTTTTCTTGGAAATGAATATTTTGAATAGGGAAAATGCAGTCCATTTGCAAAATAAATACACATAAGGCAGAAAAAGTTGGTTGTGCCTCATTTCCATCAAAATTCATTTCCATTGAAGTTTCTGGATTATATTCTGCTGCTTGGTGGCTTTCACTGTAGAAGTTCCTTATAGGCTAATCATCAGCTAGCATGAGTTAGCCACTGAGGCAACAGCTCAGCAGGTTTTGTGGCTAACCTGCTGACCTTCTTTAAACTGACGGTAGCAAATTCCTCAGTGCTGACAATGGCATTTTGCTACATCCAGATAGACCCATGCAGAAATGAGGCAAGAGGAGAGTTCTGAAGTTGTAAGGGTATGGCCATGAAGTCTTTTGGTAGTATATTGGCATGTTCTAATCAAATGTGTTAAGTATTGTACATATTGTACAATACTGTAAACATGCACAATATTATATTGGTATATAAGCTTCATAATAGGGTGGTCAGAAAGGTGGCATTGATTCTGTTCTGCTCTGTTCCTAATGCAAGTGGTGTTATGTGCTAGGGATTAACTTTCTCTGAAGTCTTTTCAAATGAGTGGCCATCATCAGTATATCTGAATCTTTATATGTATGTTTGTTATGTTTATATGTAATTATTTTTGCTGCTGTTTTAATTTAAGATTGAAATGGATTAACTTTCTCTGAAGTCTTTTCAAATGAGTGGCCATCATCAGTATATCTGAATCTTTATATGTATGTTTGTTATGTTTATATGTAATTATTTTTGCTGCTGTTTTAATTTAAGATTGAAATTTGTGATTTTGATGTAGCCCCAGTTCAAATCTTTGTTTTGAAGAGCAGCCAATACATTTCATACTTTCTTTCCACGTGGTTTCCTTGATAAAAATACAGAAGTGGTTTAGCATGGCCTTCTCCCACATAGCATTAATTGATGCCTTTGCCATTGTCATTAAAGTAATCATCTGCCTCCAGCATCTTCCTATATTGCTGCTGTCCAATATAGGTGCCGGCCCTGACAACAACTTGATGGCACATAATCAATGTATTTTAAAAAGAAAAAAAAAGCATAAAGCTATTAATTAAAAGGAAAGGGATGCAGAAAGTTATCGTGCAGATTTCACTTGCAACTTTTCTAGTCCCAGTGCACATAGCATTTGAAGTAGTACAGTGCATGTAGCCAACCACTTAGGTTTGTATTATAATTTATACAAAATTTCTCCTACTTTATGATCATAATTGTAAGATTATCAACTGGCTCCTCTTGAGGATCAAATCTGAAAAGGGAAAACAAAATGCTCATTTTTAAGAGAGGATACTTGTAATTTTTTAATAATAATTTAATATTTGGATGGATGACTTTTGTTTCACAATTTGCAGGACCATCTACTCTTATATATGCTCTTGGATTCTCAGCAGGATACCTTTTTCATACCTGATACCTAGCGTAAACAGCTAATTTTGCTTTCTTCATGACACAGCCTAAACCAAAACAGCTGAACTTACATCATTATAAAGGCCATGCTCTAAAAGTAAGTGGGTCCTTCAGGACCTGTTTTGGGGGGACAGCTAAAGTATAAATAGTCCTTTAACTCACCCACAAAACTTGAAATCATTTGAATAATTTGTTCCTGCCTACTGAAAGGAGCTCTGAGAACCCAGAAAGGATACTGGGGAGGCTGCCATGTCTCCCAGTCACACTTTTTACACCAATGATCTAGACCATGGAACAACTTGCCACTGAAGATATGACTGGGCACTTCCTCTTATAGTTTTGGGGAGGGTTGTTTGTATTTTTTACTCAAGACTTTTAGTTTTTTTCCTGATTCTAATTTTTTAATTGTTTTCTTTATGGTAGATAGGCCACAAAAAAGGAGTGGGTAGCCAATTTGATATGATATGATATGATATGACCACAAACCATTAGGAGAAGAGGCCAAAATCAAAAGTAAGACCACTCCTTTTCCTTTTCCCTTTCCCTTCCCAGCAAACAGGAAAAGGACAGCTCAGAGGGCTGAACTAATCACTGATAGCACTTTCAGATCAGATATATTTCCTCAGGAGCTTGGGTACAGCCATCTACAGCTGTGTGTCCACAGAATACCAAAAACTTAAAAAAGTTTTTAAAACAACAAGGAACACCTATGACTTCTTCAGTAAATAAATGGATACTAGCTAGTTTTCATCTGTTGAAACAGAGCTTTACTTGGCTGGTGAGTTTAACCACACTTGCATTTTAAAAGTGCAGCTAGCAGCTATTTGTTTTGTTTCTCTCCCATTTTTTCTCTTATGGACATGAGTAATTTTGATTGGGATTCCCACTGTGGAGTGGGAGAAAAGGTTTAATCTTTCCTCCTTTCCCCAACCACAGTTTTAGTTTGTTGCTTTTTCTACCTCATTTTCATTTCCTGTCCAAGCACCACTGTCCTTAGGAGCCTGGATTTGAATTGCACACGCGGCTTGCTGAAGAAGGTCAAGCTAACAGTGGCAGGTTCGAGCCCTGAAGTACTGCTAGTCTCCACACTGTCACGTGCACTAAAGCATGTGGGTGCCTGGCCTGAAAGGCCTTCAGGCTGTGCCCTTGCATTGAGGGTGGGTCAATGACAGCAAGAAGTGTCAGCCCAATGTTCTGTAGCATTTTGTCATAGAGACAGGCAATTATCTGCAGCTGGGTTAAGTAAATTAAACTTAACTGGGTTGTGTAACAGTGAGCCAGGTGCTGCTTAAGGCTGAGTGTACAGGTATACTCAGCTTCCAGTTCTTCATAGAACACTGTATTCCATAGAATATAGTTGAAGAAATAGTGTTCTTCACGTGTTCACAAATCTCCTGTCTTCCCCCTACCCTGTTTCTCTTTTCAATCCTGATCTATCAATATTCCACTTGCAATTGGATTTTCTGAAAGACCTTCATTCTTCAAGGAGAAGCAACCATAGAATTTTTCAGTGCAAATCCAGAATATCTAATACTTTGGTTTCCGTATAGAGCAGCCATTGCGGTTGCTGAACATTGCAATAATCAAAACCTTTAATGAAGATGATTTCTTCCTGTACAAATTTGTGACTAATGCTAGCATATCCAGGTTGCAAAAATCTGGATGACCACCTACTTCCTTGCTGCTATTTGGTGGCTGTCCAGATTTTTGCAGTCTAGATATGATAGTTCTACTGATGAGAGTGGAGCTGCAATACCCATGAGTCAGAAAGTATAGGGAGGAGAATAGTCATGTTACTTTTTCTTCCAGTAATCTCAGTTATATTAAAGTAACTAGATAGAGGGGGGACACTTTCTATGTATATAAAATGCATGCGTGCGTACAGATGAATATGTGGGGGATGACCCACTACCCACCATGTGCAACCTTCAGCGATGAAAAGATTGTGGAAGATAAAAGCTGTATTCGTTACTTGGTAGGGTTTATTCTAAAAAATAACTCTTCTGTCTGAAAATGATACAATATTATGTTTAAATACTGAAATGCCCATTTTTTGACTTTGACCTACTCATGTGATACTTCCCATGTTTCAGTTTCAGGCAAAAAACAATCATTTCATGTTTGTTTGTTTTTTTAAATGAAGCAGATCCCAAACTGCAATGTAGAATTAACTGTGTTAAATAGTATTTCTTCTCTATTTTTATGTGCTGCTTTCCTTAAACTATCATAAGGTAGTATGCATTTTTCTCTTCTCCTCCCTCATTTTATTCTTACAACCCTGTGAAGTAGATGAGAAACAAGGGCTGACTCAAAATCATCCAGAGAATTTCATGAATGAGAGAAGAGTTGAACTCTGTCCAGTCAAAATACAGTTCCTGTAACCCATAATGCAAATATTTTTACTTGAGCTGAGATGCTTAAATACACAGCTAAGATTTGTCATTACTACTTTCAGATATGCACCCTTCTTTTACATGGCAATTTCCTTTTAAAAAAGGCTACCTGCAACTTGTCCTAAAGAGACCATTAATACATATCACTGATATGCATTCTTGCCACATCAGCAGAAATTGGATCTGAATTCTCTGAGCAAATGGAGCATTTTCTATATTTAGCATCATCAAAGTTTCTCCCCTTTATACCTTATTGCTGATCTTTTAACATAATTGTAGCCTGATATGCATTTCATTTTAAATAGCATCAATATTTTTTATTTTCTTCTTCTATTGCTGAGGCAATGTTCATAATATATTTTTAAATGCAATACTAAAGAAATAAGGATAAAAATACGTAGGTATATTTCAGAATCAGAAAGCTCAGAAAAGCTTTCACAAAGTCAAGTCTTGGGCATCTGTAAGAAGAACATTAGATGTGTCATGATCCTGGCACACAAATGACATGAATTACATAATTCACATGATGCGATTGATGCAGATTTGTTTCAGTTGCATGATGATACTATGACACACAAAAGCTCATTTGCTGTGGATATCCATGATTTAAATAAGATACTGTATTAACAAACCTAGTGCTTCATTTCTTTTTTCCTCTTTGCTCTACCAGCATAGGTACAGGCTTATAGCTACAAGGAGATAAGGACATAGTAGCTTTAATAAGTGACCTTTATGGCTTGCATATTGATGTATTGTCCATTTACAGTTAACTGAAATGGTGCATACATTAGGCAAAACTGTGTAAAGTAACAGAAACTCCATGAAATTTAAGGAAACATTTCTTCTTT